CCCGTGAATTTCTCTGCTTGCAGAATGGGATGCTGTGAAGATATGTTATTTGATGGTGTCTGAAGTGGTCCTCAGGTTCTCCTTGAGAGCTGGGAGCAGCTGGGGGGCACTTGAGGTCCAGGGCTGGTGCAGGCAGTAGGGTTGGGTGGGTGAGGTTATGCTTTTCTATCTTTGCTTAATGAGGAGGCAGTAGAGAGGGAAGAAGGGAGCTGAGGAATTGGGACTAGACCTCCTGACATGCCCTGAATCTTGAGTCGTCCCAGGTCTTCACTAAGCTCCTGGCAGGGGACACAGAAGGGTGGCTGGGACCTCTCCTGGGTGCCTGGGCTGGTAGCAATGTCCCCCTGCTCCTCCCTGCCTGCTCCTTGCAGCCCTTCCTGCCTTCTTTGGAGACTGCAGCAGGAGGATGAGGAGGAGGAGAAGGAGGAGCAGGGAGGAAGAAATCGAGGTCCTCATCATTTCAAGAGCCTGTTAATTGTCCCCCCATGCTTCCTAAGAAGTGGCCATTTACTGTAGGCCCTGTAAATCATCTCCAGAGAGGGAACACCAGGGAGCATGGCATGGGAGGATGAGAGCCCTTGATGGCTTTGAAAGAGACAGCAGAGAGCTGGAGCAGAGAGAAAAAATCCAGCCCGCCGTCAGCAAAGGGAGAAAATAGACTGAAAGAGAGAGAAACTGAAAATGTGCTGAAGCAGCTGATGACAACCCAAACAGCGGGAGAAGGCTCCTGCCTGCCAATTAACAAGGCTCTGGCGCTAATTTGCCACCTTGACTGCACTTCTGAGCCTGTCAGAAGAAGGGGAAAAAAGGAAAAGGTGAGGCTAAAAAAGCGATAGTGAGGTTCCGGCATGCCTCCTGGCTACGCAGATGTTGCTGGGCTTCAGAGAGGTGGGGGAAGCAAGGGGGGTGGGTGGCAAAACCCCTTCCACGAGCCTGGAGTGGGAAGAGAATGATGGCAAGTCTCTGTGGGCTTGTGTGTGGCAGAGCAGCTACAGGCCATGGCACTACCTGACCTGGGGATCCTGGTTTCCCAGGGATCGCATCCCACACTCTGCTTGGTTAGATGGGAGAGTAAGTGGTGATCCCATGTGTGCCCAGGGGCATTTCTAGTACCTGTGGACAAACTGTGTTATATGGAGGAAGGCGGAGCAGCACCATGCCGGGGTGGAGAGGTCTGCAGGCAGTTTGCTGTCGCTTGCCTCCCCCAGAGATGCTGTCAAACAGCAAAACAGCTCTGTTGGCAGCTGCCTGGCGGTTATGTGCGGCTGACGAAGCTGGAGGAGCCCTGAGCAAAATGCTTGGCGTGAAGCCTCCCGCCAAGCAAATCATCTGATTTCCACTTCTTGCCTGTCCCGCAGCCTGAACCAAGAGGGCAGAGGATGTGGGGATGAATTTCAAGCAAAATCTGCACCAGTGTGCCGTTTCCATGCAAAGACAAAGAATACCTGCCAGCAAAGCGTGTTAGCTGGAGCCCCCCAGCCCTTCCTCCCTCCCTGGGGATGTTTTATAGCTGGGAGCTACGAGGGAAGTGACTGAGGTGGGCTGGAGCAGGGATGCAGACTTGCCCCCACAACCTCTCTCCATCCTGGCTCTTCATGGTAAAACTGTCCATGCTATTGTGGCACAGCCTGACTCAGAGATGCTCTTGGCCAAAGGCAGCACCTCACGACAAGCAGAACTAGAGGATCAGTGGGTGCTGTAGAAAAGGGGTAAAAGCACTGGAGGGTAAACCCAGTGTAGTTTGGATAGCAGAGCTGTGAGGTTTTGGTTCAAGTGTGGCCAATCACAGCCTATCATCAGCTGTCTTGGGGCTGGGAGATGGAGATGGGACCAACCCACACCTGGAAGGCACAAGCAGGGATGCTGGGGGAGAGCACTGCAGATAATCCAGTCCTGCTGCCAGGGCTGGGGGTGAAACAGCCAGGTCTTTCCCCAGCCTCCTTTTTCCTGGCAGAGCTGCTAAACAAACATGTCTGGAGGGAACTGGAGTGTCTGCAATCAAGCGAGTGAGGAGCTCAGCTTGTTATTTAAGAAGCAGCTTTTTGGCGTTCATGCTGCAGAGAATATTGTGTAAATGCAGGGGCTTGCAAACCAGTTTCCGGGCAAGGATAACCACAAACATACCGGCTTTTAAAACCAAATGGGTTTGACACTGAATTCCTGGTTCAAGGTGGCACTCTGGCTTTTTGCATCTGGAGGCCAGATCCTGTTAGCGCCATGCGGCAGCGACTCTCCGGCCAGCCCTGCTGGTGCTGGCACTGTTTTTTGCAGGGGAATGCGCTGCAAGGTAATCAAATGCTGACCTCTAGTTATTAACCTTGTCTTCTTAATCACCTCCATCGAGTGCCTTAATTGCTGAACAGGGATTGGAAGACCTGGCTGCTTCCACATGGGATTAACATGCAGCCTGACAGTCCCCTTGTAGGGGGGGCACACTGCTGCTGCTCTTCTTTTGACTTCACCCAGAAAGTGGTTCTACCAGAATACAGCAATTTATCAGCAAAATTCAGGGAGCCATCCCCATCCTTTCATCTGCTCAGTTAAAGAGGTGGTCCAGCCCCACAGCATGGGGGCCAGTGGCCAGGGTTGTGTGTGGCATCACTGTCTCTCTTCTTTCTGCAGGCCCCTGCATTACCCAATGGGTGCTTTGCTGAGAAGGTGCTGTGCTGGCTGCTGGGCTGGGAATGCGACACACAGCCTCATTCGCAATGGGAATCTAAACCAAGTGCCAAAGCCAGTGCTTTTGGGCAATAGATGATGAAATCTTGCTGGGGGACTGTGGGAAGGGGAGGCTGCAGTGCTGCTCTGCCTCCCAGCCCTGGGGGCAACTGCTGAGCATGAAAAGAGTTGACGGCATGTCCCACCAGCTGCCTGCCTGCCCACCCCTGACTTTTTTTGCATTAAATTGAAAGTAAATAGCCTTCACCTGCCTCTGTCCCTGCATGCTCTCAGAGCATCACCTCCTGCTTCTGGAGTCAGCACCATGGTGGAGAAGCCTGGGGTCAAGTCCTCCACTGGATGGAAGCTGCTCTACCATGTCTTGGTCAGTGGCTGCTTGAGATGCTGCCATACATCCCAATGGCTCTTGCATTCGTGTCCAGGTGGCTTTAGGATGTGTGAGTGGTTAACAGTCACTGGCTAAGGATGCTGAAAAGTATGACAGGAAATGCTTTGGCTGGAGGAGACAGAGGGTAGAGCAGAGGAATGTTAGCCTGATGCATGGCCCACATGATGATAGGGAAAAGAAGTGATGCGATGGCCCAGAAAGATGCATAGCAAAAGCCAAAATGATGTCTTTAGCTGGGAAGCCTCCTGGCAGCCCTGCCTGCTCAGGAGCACGCAGCACTACTGGCACTCCCACCTATATCGTCCTCATCCCTGGGCAGATGTCTGCCAGCTCCCCCCGGGGAGCTGAGATGATGGCTTTGACTTCTCGTTTCCTCCTGGTGTGTTTAATTGCCTGTTTTTTTCCCTCTTTAGGAGCAGGAGACAAGGGAGGAGATGTGAGCAAAGGAAGAAAGATGTATGGAGAAGTCCAGGTGACAGATTGAGGGATGCTATATCCACAATAACCGGCCTGATGGATTGATAGATTAGACAGGGAATATAAATAGCAAGCATAGTTTATCTACCCCCATTTTATTTTCCTCTCACCTATCTCTTTATCTCTCCTGGTGTTATTTTCCTCCTGCTTATCTCTTTATCTGTCCAGTCTGAGGACGGAGGAGAGAGGGGAAGAGGTGGGTGACAGAAGCAGGATGAGTTCAGGCTACCACCACTTCTGCAGCATCCAAGCAAGCAAGTTTTGCCAGCCAGGGAGAATTAGGAAGCAGAGTCCGATCTGCATGATGATACACTTTTCTCCCCCTCTCCTTTTCCCTGTACCCTGCCTGCACCCCCTGCGCTGGGGGTGCTGCGGGCTGGAGGATCAGCTCCTTCCTCTCTCTGCACTGTCCTCAGCCAAGAAAGTGGGGCAGCTGCCGGAGTGGTGAGCTCCACTTGTCTGGATACCCAGCCTTTCCATCTGACAGCCGGGCAGCACTGCTGCTTGATATTCTGGTCAGGCACCGAGCACAGTGGCAGCAGCACCGGGAAGGAGGGAGGGATCCACACAGCAAGGGAAAAGCCAGGGCCAGAGATGACAGTAACTGTTTGGGGTTTTGTTTTTCTTTAATCTCCGTTGGTTTTGGTTGCTCTTTTGCTCAAAAAAGGCATTATTTAAAAAATATATTAAACAGATACATTTTACTAATATGTCTCTTGGCTGGAGCCACTGACAAGAAATGACACTCCCCAAATAAACAGGCTTAAAAAAATCCCTCCCAAACAAAACAAATAAATAAATACATAAATAAAACTTTTTTCATTCTTTCTTTTGTTTTAGGTTTCTCTTTCATGTAAGGAATTGTGGCCCAGAGGTCTCTGCCAGTGTCAGCGATGACAGTGTCCCCAGGGCAGGTGCCAGGTCCTTCCCATGTGACGGGTGACGATGCCCCCATACTGCAGCAGGCACAAGAGGCCCCAGTGGAGATCTGCCATGTCTCGGGGGCCTGCAGTGCAGTGTCCCGCCACACCTGCGCGGCTGTCCCCCGCCACACCACGTGCAAGGGCACGGCTGCAGGAAGGATTGCGGGGGATGCAAAAGTGTAAAAAGACTACAAAAGTTGGGGCACTGAGGAGTCACCACTGGAGGATCCTCAAGTCAGGTTGGGCATCTACTCCAGCTGGACTAGCAGCTGCCTCTGGCCAAGACACATCCCTCCTGGCCATTGGCATGTCCCCTCAGCAACCCAATGGGGGGCTGCACTGGCGTTGTCCCCATGCTTGGAGCCAGTCTGCGCTGTGTGAGCCGTCCCTCCTCCACAGTCCTGCTGGTGTCCTCCATCCTGCGTCTCTTTGGCCAGTCGCTGGGTGTACCATGGAAGCACGTGGTTGGCACTAAGGTAAGGCCTTGATTTAATTTTTTAGGGTGGTTATTCCCTTCCTCCTCCCCAGAGTCCTTTCTCCCAGTCCCCTCGCTCTGAGATCGGAGCAGCCCTGGCTGTTAGCTGCACAGTTTGCCCGTCTCCTGCTCTAGCGCGTTGGGCAGCTTGGTGTTGAAGGCCCTCAAGGAGGACTGGATCCTCGCCACCTCATTGTTGGCCAGTTTGAGCCTGTGCCGGAGCAAGCAAGTGAAGAGGTCAAGGCGGGTTTTGCCAGGGGGTGACAATCTGTTTACCCGGTCCCTGATCTCCAACAGCTGAAGCATGGCAGAGTCCTGGGAGCCCTGTGTGTAGGGGTAGTCCAGCTGAAGGATCAGGTCACGAATAGCATCTGGCTCAAAGGGCAGGCTGTAGCCAAAGACTTGCAAACTGTTGATTTTCATGTAGCCCAGGTTCTTGGAGGGATCTGCCATCTCCAAGGGTTCATAGTAGATTGTCTCATTGGAGCTGTCATCCAGAGACTTGATGCGGCTCCGCAAGTAGACGTGGACCGTTTCAAAGAAGGTCTTCCACTTATTGCCCAAAGTGAGCGTCCAGTTTTGGCACTGGGCAGAGGCATCTACATTAGTTCTTTCCCAGTCTGGGAAGCTGCCTTCATTGACAGGCATGAACCAGCTCTCCGAGTGGCTTCCCCCGAAGGGGTTGACGTAGATGGCCATAACAGGCTCCAGTGTGCTGTTCTTGGTGAGGCAGATCTGCAGGGAGAGGGCCAACATCACATGAACCAGCCCTGGCTTGTACTTGTTGCTCTTCAGGGTTAAGAGCATCCGTTTCCTCCAGGAGGGGTCAAACCAGCTCCCCAGGCGCATATCGTTGCTGATGAAGATAGAGTGCACCTCGATGCGGCTGTCCCGTTTCTGCAGGAGGTACTTGAGCTCCAAGTCCTGAAGGTCTGTCTCCAGCCCCAGGTAGTGCTCCAGTGAGTCGGCCACCTCAGGGCGGCAGAAGCCCTGGGTGAGCATGTAGCCGTGGTTGCAGGTCCCGCAGCGGGTGCTGTTGTCCTCGGCGCAGCTGGCACAGGCTGGCCCCTCGCCCAAGGCACATGGTATGGATCCCTGGCAGGAGGGCTGCTCGGAGGGACATGTGCAGCTGTGGCTTTCTTCCAGGAAGGTCCCAGGCACAGTGGTCTCACTGCAGTACAGGAGTGACTGTGCGCGGCTCCACCAGTAAGGGAGGGACCTGGTGAAGAGACACAGGAGGAGAGATGCTTACATGGCATCTTTCGGGGTGTGACCAAAGGACTTTCCCTAGGGATGGAAGACCTGCCCACCTTTTGTTAATTTTTCTGCACTGCTGGTGGCTCCCCATGAATCGAGCCCCATTTTCCACCTCCAGGCTTAGACTCAACCGCTCAATTGAGAGAGGTCACATCCTAGTTTGGCACAGCTGCCCCTACTGCCTGCTTGCCCACAGGCATCTCTTCAGCAAGGCAGGACCTCTTACAGTCCCAGCCACAGGTAAGGTGGGCCCTGGGTCTGAGCCTCCCTTGGGGCTCTGAGCAGTGTCCCCAGTGTGGGATGGGGATGCTGTGGTGCCCTACCTCTCCTTGGGCAGCTTGAAGCGAGGTTGCCGGTGGCAGCGTTTGCTGAGGTTGAAGAGCCGCCGGATGAGCCGGTGGGTTTTCCTGGAAAGCAGTTTCAGGCTGGTGCCCAGCTGTTGGTAGCGATGCTGGACATCCAGGTCCATGGCCCAGAAGTGGGAGATGGCCGTCCTGTTCAGGAAACGGTCCCCAGGGAGCCTCTTCACTAGGGCCTGAAATTCCTCTGTGCCAGAAGCAAGACGGTATCAGCAGACCCACGAGAGCAAGTGGTGAAGGTAGGGCTGGAGGCAACCTCCCTCCACCCAAACTCAGGTCTTCACAGTGAGCGACCACCCTGGATCCTGCCCTGGAGCCCCACCACCCAGCCTGGGCTGCTCCCAAAGGAGGGATTGCAGGGAAGGAGGTGCTTTGTGGGGTGTCCTCAGCCTCACCTGACTCCTCGAACTGGCTGTGGTGGCTCTCCCAGGCTCTCCGGAGCTGGGCCAGGCTGCTCTCCAGCGCCTGAATGTCAGCCTCGGGGCAGTTGCAGCGGGGGAA